AATATTATCCAATAGGAATATAGGATTGAGATAAGACATGTAAAAATCGATCTTATGTCAAATTTGGCGTGATCGTCATCTGCTTTACGGCAAGCAGTTGGCGACCACGTCACACTCTGCGGCAATGCATCAAACTCTACTTTCTACCACACCATTCCCTTGTTCCGTCTGAAACACTGTTTGCGAATGGTCAGCGGTTGGCATGCCCAATCTGATGCCGTGCGTCTTAAACAGTGCTTACCAAAACTTCAATGTAAGACGCAAATATATATTCGAAACGATGGCTATGCGTAAGCCACGTTGGCGAAACATTGGATCGAGGAACAAATTGACCATAATCTCACCAATCTCAAATCCGCTGACAATGGCAAAATGAGCTCTTTTGCTCAGACGGTCCAAAATGACCACAATACCGGTAATACTGGACACGTCAATGGAAAGATCGTTTTTCGGGTTCAAAGTGAGGGACGATCAAACATCTACCCAAGCCGATGGGCTGTCAAAGGTTCTACTACATGCATAAAGGTTTTAATCCGTCGCCCTGTTTCAAGTGTCCTTTTATATGTATTACCCACTTAAACAAGCTGAGTTATTAACTTGAAGCATCTATGAGCAATATACATTTATTTTTTAAAACTGCCAACCAAAATCCTATCCTGTTTAATGCACATGAGGTTCTCATCGCGAGGAACCACTACACGCTAAGTTAGTAATGTAATACACCATCCTTGGGATTGACATATTGATGCAGACGCTCAATCGCGCACTTTGGTGAAAACTTCAAGTTTTCAAGACCATTGATTTCCAAACCTTTCTACAAGAAACCACATGTTGCGTCTTACCTGTACGCTGTTGGTATCTCCTCATTAATCGGCGAAGATACTATCGAGACATTCATAACGCCACCACACTAAGACAATGCCCCTTATACCGCATCCTAACGGTGTATTCAGCAAAAGAGTATTATCATCTTGCCGCACTGCGCGAAGGATATGGCGTTGACGTCTTTGTGCAAGAGAACGCATGATCTGTACAGATCGATAACGGCTGAAAAGGTGTTTTTTCAAAGTTGATAAAGGCACACTTCCTAGCAAAAGCCCTCTCGTCGTGAATAGGAGAGTTTTTCTGCAGATTTAAGCTTGCAAGACTCAACTGCGATCACGCCTTCTGT